GGCCTGGAGAAGAATCTACAGCCTACCAAAGTAGCCCAGCCTCACTGCACACAACAATTCCACATGATGACTCTTCAGCACCAGTTCTCCATGAAGAATCTACAACCATGCAAAGCAGTCCAGGGTTATTAGACACGACAGTGAAACCTGACCATACTTCAGCACCAGGTATAGGTGAAGAATCTATAACATACCAAAATAGTCCAGGGTCACCAACCACAAGACTGTCACCCGACAGCTCCTCAACACCAGACCATGGTGAAGAATCAACAACCTTCAGAAACAGCCCAGACTCACTGTACACAACAATGTTACCTGATGGCTCTATAACATCAGGTTTCAGTGAGGAATCTACAGTCTTCCAAAGCAGTCCAGGCTCACCACACACAACAGTCTCATCTGACAGGTCCCCAACTCCAGGCCTCTGGGAGGAATCCACGACCTTCCATGGAAGCCCATACTCAGTTTACACAACTCTGTTGCCTGACAACTCTACAACCTCAGGTCTCACTGAAGAATCCACAGCCTTCCAAAGCAGCTCAGGCTCACCTCACCCAACAACATCACCTGACAGCTTTACAGCCTCAGGCCTTGATGAAGAATCTACAACCTTTCACAGTAGCCCAGACTCACTACATACAACAGTGTCACATGGTGGATCTTCAACACCACCTCTCAGCGAAGAAACTACAACTTTCCGACGCATCCCAGGCTCACCACACACAGTAGTTTCATCTGACAGGTCCTTAACTCCAGGCCTCTGGGAGGAATCCACAACCTTCTACAGAAACCCAGACTCAATTCACACAACACTGTTACCTGACGGCTCTACAACCAGAGGCCTTAGCAAAGAATCTACAACTTTTCAAAGCAGTCCAGGCTCATCACAAACAACAGTGTCACCCAAAAGCACTCTAACTGCAAGCCTTGGTGAAGAATCTACCACATTCCAAAGCAGCCCAGGCTCAACTGACTCAACAGTGCCTCCTGACATCTCCACAACTCCAGATCTCAGTGAAGAACCCACAACCTTGCACAGCAGACCTGGTTCAGTGTCCATAACAGTGTCTCTTGACAGCTCTGCAACATCAGGGCTTCATGGGGTATCTACAGTTTTCCCAAACAACCCGGGCTCATCACATACAAAAGTCTCACCTGACAGCTCTTCAACACCAGGCCTCTTTGAAGACCCTACAACCGTCCTAAATAGCCCAGGCTCAACTCACACAACAGTGTTCTCTTACAGCTCTCTAAATCCAGGCTTCAGTGAGGAACCTACAAATGCCCAAAGTACTTCAGGCTCATCACACACAACAGTCTCACCTAGAAGCTCTCCAGCCCCAGGTCTCATTGAAGGCTCTACAGCCTTTCAAAGCAACTCAGGCTCAACACACACAACAAGGTCTCCTGACAGCTCTCCAGCCCCAGGCCCTGGTGAAGGATCTACAACTTTCCAAGGCAGCCCGGCATCACCACTCACAACACTGTCACCTGATGGCTATTCAACATTAGGCCTCACTGAACAACCTACCACCTTCCAAAGCAGCCTAGGCTCAACTCATTCAACAATGTCTCTTGACCTCTCCACAACCCTGGGTCTCAGTGAAAAATCCACAACATTGCACAGCAGACCAGGCTCAACCTCCACAACAGTGTCTCTTGACAGCTCTACAACGCCAGATCTCAGTTCCAAATCGACAACCTACCAAGGCAACCCTGGCTCAGCACACACTATGGTGTCACCTGGCAGCTCTTCAACACCAAGTCTCCTTGAACAATCTACAGCCTTCCAGAGTAATGCAGCCTCAAAACACACAACAGGGTCAGCTGATGACTCTTCCACACCAGGTCTCAGTGAACGACCTACTGCCTTCCAAAGCAGCCCGGGCTCAACTCACTCAACAGTGTTTCTTGATCTCACCACAACACTGGGTCTCAGTGAAGAATCTACAACATTGTACAGCAGGCCAGCTTCAACTTCCACAACACTGTCACCCGAGAGATTCTCAACTCCAATTCTTGGTGAAAAATCTACAACCTTCCAAAGCAGTCCTGGCTCACCATACACTATAGTGTCACCTGACAGCTCTTCAACACCAAGCCTCTTTGAACTATCTACAGCCTTCCAGAGTAGTATAAGCTCAAAACACACAGCAGTGTCAGCTGATGGCTCTTCAACACCAAGCTTCACTGAAGAATCTACCACTTTCCATAGCAGCCAAAGCTCAACTCATTCAATACTGTCTCCTGACTTCTCCACAGTTCCAGGTCTCAGTGAGGAATCCACAACCTTGGAGAGCAGGCCAGGCTCAATGTCCACCAAGTTTTCTCTTGACAGCTTTACAACACCAGACCTCAGTGAACCACCTACCACCGTCCAAAGCAGCCCTGGCTCAACACACTCAGCAGTGGCTCCTGACATCTCCACAACTCCAGATCTCAGTGAAGAATCCACAACCTTGCAGAGCACACCTGGTTCAATGTTCACAACAGTGTCACCTGAGAGCTTCTCCATCACAGTTCTTGGTGACAAATCTACAACCTTCGAAAGCAACTCTGGATCACCACGTACAACTCTGTCACTTGGCAGCTCTACAATATCAGGATTTGGTGGGGAATCTACAACCACCCAAGGCAGTTCAGGCTCTACTTATACAACAGTGTCACCTGAGAGCTCTCTAACTCCAGTCCTTGGTGACAAATCTACAACCTTCCAAAGCAGTCCTGGCTCACCATACACTATAGTGTCACCTGACAGCTCTTCAACACCAAGCCTCTTTGAACTATCTACAGCCTTTCAGAATAGTATAAGCTCAAAACACACAACAGTGTCAGCTGATGGCACTTCAACACCAAGCTTCACTGAAGAATCTACCACTTTCCATAGCAGCCAAAGCTCAACTCATTCAATACTGTCTCCTGACTTCTCCACAGTTCCAGGTCTCAGTGAGGAATCCACAACCTTGTACAACAGACCAGGCTCAGTGTCCACAGAGTTGACTCTTGACAGCTTAACAACACTAGATCTCAGTTACAAATCTACAACCTTCCAAAGCAGCCCTGGCTCAGCACATACTATGGTGTCACCTGACAGTTCTTCAACACCAGGGCTCGATGAGGAATCTACAACCATCCAAGGCATTTCAGGCTCAACTTCCACAACAGTGTTGCCCGACAGTTCTCCAACTGCAGTCCTTGGTGACAAATCTACAACCTTTGAAAGCAGCCCTGGATCACCAGACACTACAATGTCACCTGACAGCTCTTCAAAACCAGGCATTCTTGAACAATCTACAGCCTTCCAGAGTAGTGCAGGCTCAAAACACACAACGGTGTCAGCTTATGGCTCTTCAACACCAGGCCTCAGTGAATCACCTAACACCTTCCAAACCAGTCCAGGCTCAACACACTCAGCAGTGGCTCCTGACATCTCCACAACTCCAGATCTCAGTGAAGAATCCACAACCTTGCAGAGTAGACCTGGTTCAATGTCCACAATAGTGTCACCTGAGAGTTTCTCCACCCCAGTTCTTGGTGAGAAATCTACAACCTTCAAAAGCAGCCTTGGATCACCACATACAACTCTGTCACTTGGCAGCTCTACAATATCAGGATTTGGTGAGGAATCTACAACCACCCAACGCAGTTCAGGCTCAACTTCCACAACAGTGTCACCCGACAGCTCTCTAACTGCAGTCATTGGTGACAAATCTACAACCTTCCAAAGCAGCCCTGGATCACTAGACACTACAGTGTCACCTGACAGCTCTACAATACCAGGATTTGGTGAGGAATCTACAACCACCCAAGGCAGTTCAGGTTCTACTTATACAACAGTTTCACCTGACAGTTCTCTAACTCCAGTCCTTGGTGACAAATCTACAACCTTCCAAAGCAGCCCTGGATCACTAGACACTACAGTTTTACCTGACAGCTCTACAATACCAGGATTTGGTGAAGATTCTACAACCACCCAAGGCAGTTCAGATTCAGCTTTCACAACAGTGTCGCCTGACAGCTCTCTAACTGCAGTCCTTGGTGACAAATCTACAACCTTCCAAAGCAGCCCTGGCTCAAAATACTCTACAGTGTCACCTGACAGCTCTTCAACACCAGACGTCCTTGAGCAATCCACAACCTTCCAGAGCAGCACAGCCTCAAAACACACAACAGTGTCAGCTGATGGCTCTTCAACACAAGGTCTCAGTGAACAACCTACCATCTTCCAAAGCAGACCAGGCTCACCACACTCGACAGTGTTTCTTGATCTCTCCACAATGCCGGGACTAAGTGAAAAATCTACAACATTGCACATCAGGCCTGGTTCAACATCCACAACAGTGTCACTTGAGAGTTCCTCAACCCTAGTTCTTGATGACAAATCTACAACCTTTCAAAGCAGCCCTGGCTCACCACATACAACTGTGTCACTTGACAGTTCTACAACACCAGGGCTTGGTGAGGTATCTACAACCTTCCAGAGTAGTTCAGACTCAACTTCCAAAACAGTGTCACCCAAGAGATCCTCAACCCCAGGTCTCGGTGACAAATCTACCACCTTCCAAAGCAACCCAGACTTACCACATACAACTCTGTCACTTGGGAGCTCTACAATACCAAGGGTCAATGTGGAATCTACTATCACCCAAGACAATTCAGGCTCAACTTCCACAACAGTGTCATCTGACAGCTCTCTAACTCCAGTCCTTGGTGACAAATCTACAACCTTCCAAAGCAGCCCTGGCTTACCAAACACTACGTTGTCACCTGACAGCTCTTCAACACCAGGCCTCCTTGAACAATCTACAGCCTTCCAGAGTAGTGCAGGCTCAAAACACACAACGGTGTCAGCTGATGGCTCTTCAACACCAGGCCTCAGTGAATCACCTAACACCTTCCAAACCAGTCCAGGCTCAACACACTCAGCAGTGGCTCCTGACATCTCCACAACTCCAGATCTCAGTGAAGAATCCACAACCTTGCGGAGCAGACCTGGTTCAATGTCCACAACAATATCATCTGAGAGCTTCTCCACTCCAGTTCTTGGTGACAAATCTACAGCCTTTGAAAGCAGCCCTGGATCACCACATACAACTCTGTCACTTGGCAGCTCTACAATATCAGGATTTGGTGGGGAATCTACAACCACCCAAGGCAGTTCAGGCTCTACTTATACAACAGTGTCACCTGAGAGCTCTCTAACTCCAGTCCTTGGTGACAAATCTACAACCTTCCAAAGCAGCCCTGGCTCACCATACACTACATTGTCACCTGACAGCTCAACACCAGGCCTCCTTGAACAATCTACAGTCGTCCAGAGTAGTGCAGCCTCAAAACACACAACAGTGTCAGCTGATGGCTCTTCAACGCCAAGCTTAATTGAAGAATCTACCACTTTCCATAGCAGCCAAGGCTCAACTCACTCAATAGTGTCTCCTGACTTCTCCACAGTTCCAGGTCTCAGTGCAGAATCCACAACCTTGTACAGCAGGCCAGGTTCAACATCCACAGAGTTGACTCTTGACAGCTTTACAACACCAGATCTCAGTTACAAATCTACAACCTTCCAAAGCAGCCCTGGCTCAGCACACACTATGGTTCCGCCTGACAGCTCTTCAACACCAGGTCTCGGTGAGGAATCTACAACCACCCAAGGCAGTTCAGGCTCTATTTATACGACAGTGTCATCTGACAGCTCTCTAACTGCAGTCCTTGGTGACAAATCTACAACCTTCCAAAGCAGCCCTAGCTCAGCACACACTACGGTGTCACCTGACAGCTCTTCAGCACCAGGCCTCCCTGAACAATCTACAGTCTTCCATAGCAGCCAAGGCTCAACTCTCTCAGTAGCATCTCCTGACCTCTCCCCAGTCCCAGGTCCCAGTGAAGAATCCACAACTTTGCACAGCAGACCTGGTTCAATGTCCACAACAGTGTCTCTTGACAGCTCTGCAACAGCAGATCCCAGTGACACATCTACAAGCTTCCAAAGCAGCCCTGGCTCACCACACACAACAATCTTACCTGACAACTTTTCAACACCAGGCCTCTTTGAAGAGCCTACAACTGTCCTAAAAGGCCCAGGCTCAACACACACAATGCTGTCCCCTTACAGCTCTCTAACTCCAGGCTTCAGTGAGGATCCTACAAATGCCCAAGGCACTTCAGACTCATCACAACCAACAGCCTCTCCCAGGAGCTTTCCAACCTCAGGTCTCCTTGAAGGATCTACAGCTTTCCAAAGCAGTCCAGGCTCAACACCTACAACAGTGTCTGCTGAAAGTTCCCTGGCCCCAGGCCTTGGTGAAGGATCTACAACCTTCCAGGGCAGCCCAGGCTCGCCACACACAATTGTGTCCACTTACAGCTCCCAAACCTCACTCACGGATTCAGCCATCACTGGCTTCTCCTCCAGGACTGTCTCTGAGGCTTCTTCGTCCATTACGACTTCTCCTGGGTTATTTCCTCCTCTGTCTTCCACGTCACTTGTCTCTACTGGCTCTCCAGCTCCTGGGCTTGAAGCCACTTCAAGTCGTCATCTGTCAATCACCAACACCCGCATGACTATCATGACGGTCTCTTCTTCAACTATGACGCCAGGTGAGTTCCTTCTATGAACCTCTCCTGTCTGTGTTTTATCAGCATCCTAGTCTTCTTTGACCTTTTCAAGGTCTTGTTTCATCTTCCAATGCTTTCTCCTCACCAGTATACATCATCCTCGTTGACAGATTTGTCCTCTTTGATTTGAAGGGGTCTTTTTCCTTTGCTTGACCTCTTGTGTCTCTTGTTTCCTTACTCCCTGCTATTTCTTCTCCTTTTCTTACTATCTCCTGGGGATGGTAACAGAGGGCTCTTCATTGCTGCATGACCATCTGGTCCCTCTTTAGTGCAATGCTGAATGATGGAACCTGGCATGGGAGTCAGTGTTTTTGTCCCTTGGGCTTCTTTGGTGATTGCTGTGAATTCTCTCCTCCCACAGGGCAATGCCAGGATGGAAAAACATGGAATGGAAAAGAGTGTGTCTGTCCCCAGGGCTACTTTGATCACCTGTGTCTGTCCCCATTGGAATACTTCTACATAGGTAAAGACCTTTTCTGGGACCTGCAGCTCTATTCTATTGAAGCTGTAGATCCTTTAAGGAGACCTGAGGTTGGAAAGCTCCTGGGAGAGGCTGATGCTTGTGATGAGTCTGAAGTGCTTTGGGCATTTGTAGGATCCTCAAAAATTGGATGGCAGCATTGGAAGGACCAGCCACTTGCCATTGCTTCATTGTGTGAGTGGAGGGGATGACGGGACTTTCCCAGGCCACATTGCAGGTGGAACATTGATGGACCTTTCATCTCTGCCTTCAGGGTCCTTGTCACCAGCCCCTCTCATCAGGAGGCTTCCATCCCTACCCTTCCTGGAGACTGTCACTGGGTTCTGTCTCTCTGCATCCTGGCCACTTGCTTTTCACCGTTTTGAGAGAGAGGGGACAAGTCTCAGGGGCTCTTGCCTTCCTCTTCAGTTTCCACCCTCTCCCACCCATTACCTTCACCTCCAAGACACCAACAGGCAGAGAATTACCCTCTGGGGAGACATTACCGGGAGGTTGCTGGCTCACGCATGTGTGGTCTGCTCCCACAGAAACCCCGGAAAAAATCAACGCCACTTTAGGTGTGACAGTGAAAGTGACTCACAGGAATTTCACAGAAGACCTGAATGACATCACCTCCATGGCATACTGGAATTTCACTAAACTATTCAGGAGCTGGGTAAGAGCAGGGCAGCCCAGCATCACCAGATTCCCCAGGGTGATGTCCCACGTGAAAAGGCACGTGCGGGTCATCCTGACTTAGTGGTCTGGGTCCCTCAGCTCATGGAGCCCCTTCGTTTCCCTGAGTCCTGAGAGGGGGTCCTCTGAGGGCTTTGGTCCTCGAACCCCACCCAGCCTCCCCATATCCTGGCACAGGAAGCTTCCTGTGCTTGTCCTTTCTCCTTCCTGAGGGCTCATACGTGGGCTCCACAGAAGGGAGCCTGGGCTGCCCTGAGGTGGGGAACAGAGGTCTCTGCTCGCTTCAGCCCTGTGTGAATGAGCTCAGCCGCCTTGTTTCTTTCAGATGGATGAAGTTTACACGGGCATTGACCTTCCCCAGTATAAAGGCGTGATCATTAGGAGATTGCTGTGAGTATATGGGGAGCAGGTTTATGGTTTTGGGGAGCCCCCTCTATCCTTGCTCACCTGTCTCCTCCTACCATGAATGGTCAGGGTGTCAGTACCTGGTTGGGCCAGAGGGGCAGGCAGCCCCTAGGCAGCACCTGAGGGCCTGAGACCATTCATTCATTCATTCATTCATTCATTCATTCATTATCATTCATCTCCTCAACATACATTTATTAAAAGCCAGCCATGTGCTAGGTGCTGGGAACACAGTAGCCCCAGTCTTCCTGGAGTTCAGAGTGGCAAAACACAGCCCACAAAAGTGGCTGGACAGTCTGCTTAGAGTTATGGTCAGGGACCCACAGCATGTCATGGGAGCGGTTCCCAAAACAAGCTTGATGAGACAGAGAGAATTCTTCCTGGAAAATGTGACAATGAAGCCCAGGCTCGAAGAATGAGAAGTAATGAGCCAGGGGAAGGGGGAAAGAGAACTGCAGCAGAGGGAGCGGTGAGGGCAGATTCCAGGAACCTAACGGTATTCAGAACAGCTGGCAGCTTGAGGGCAAAGGGGTTGTCATGGGAGAGGAGGTTGCAAAAATGACCGGTGCCAAGTTAGACTTTAGGCAGCAACGATTTGGGCCCACAAGGGATAGTATCTGATCTGCAGTGTAGAAAGCTCGGTCTGGCTGAGAATGCATGGAGAGGGACGGATCTACACTGAAGGCGATAATGGCCCAGAACAGAGAGGTGACAGTGCAGGAGAAGAGGTGCCCGGTGTAAAAGGCCTTTGGGAGGCAGGACCTGCGGATCGCAAGGATTCGTTGTGGGAGAGGAGAGAGGGAAGAGTGAGGAGGGATGGGAGACTTCTGGGCTGTGCTGGGCCGAGGGATATCAAGAGGGTAGCATGGGACAGGAGACGTTGGGTCCCGTGTGAGTCGTGTCAGGCTTCGAGCACCTGGGGCCCCAGCCTAGGAGTGGTTGAGTGACAGAGCAGCAGAGAATGTGCTCTGAGGGGTCTCAGGGGAGACACTGGAAGGAGATGGCCCCAGGGGTGGTCATGGCATAGGAATGCAGGTCTCCCAGGAAAGGAGCTGCAGAGCACCAGAATTTAAGAGGCAGGTGGGGCCTCCAGTGGACAGGGAAGAGGCAGCCAGAGGGGTGGCAAAGAGGCCTCGAGGGTGTTGTGGGAGGGGGGAGCGCCACCCTGTCCAAGAACACTGGGTCTCTTGTGAAAAGGCTCCAACGCCACGCACCTCCGCCCCACCTCACCCCCTGGCCAGCACTGGCACACTGGTTTCCTGTTCCATTTTGCCACAGGATTTTGTTGGTCTGAGTCCTTCTGAGTCCTGTGGCCGACCTCTCTTTCGAGAGGACAGTGACAGCTGACTTACCTTTTCTCAAAACCTTTCCCCTCCGCAGCATCTGAACTGGAATCCTAGGTTTCTTTTTTTTTCCTCCCAAGACAAGGTCTCATTCTGTTGCCCAGGCTGGAATGTGGTGGCCCCATCACAGCTCACTGTAACCTGGAACTCCTGGGCTCAAGCCACCCTCTTGCCTCTGCTGTGCTCCCCCTACCCCCTCATCCCTGCCTCCCAAGGTGCTGGGGTTACAGGTGTGAGCCATCCCGCCTGGCCAAAGATCCTACATTTCTCAGGTGGCCTCGGATTTCTTCCTTTTTAAAAACTCAATTATTTGGTTTTAAAACATAATCCAAGGGTCTATCTTTTTTCATCAAAAACTTTTTATTGTAGTAAAATAACCCACAGTATAAATTTACCATTTTAATCTATTTCACTGCCTAGTTCAATGACATTAAGTACATTCATATGTATGTGTAATCATCCCCACCATCCATCTCTAGAACTTTTTCATCTGGCCGAACTGAAACTCTGCACCCATTAAACACTAATCCCCATTCCCCTTCCCCCAGCCCCCGGCAACCACCATTCTGCCTTCTGTCTCTATGAATCTGATTGCTCTAGGAACTCATATAAATGGAGTCACATAACATCTGTTCTTTTGTAACTGCCTTGTTTCACTTAGTGTAATATCTTCAATGTTGTGGCATGTGTTGGAACGTCCTTCCTTTTTAAGGCAGAATAATATTCCATTGTAGGTATACACCACATTTTGTTGGTCCATTCACCTGTCAATGGACACTTGGGTTGCTTCCATATTTTGCCTATTGTGAGGAATGCTGCCATGAACATGGATGTGCAAATATCTGTTCAGGACCCTGCTTTATACCCAGAAGTGGAATTGCTGGGTGTTATAGTAATTGTATTTTTTATCTTTTGAGGAAGGGCTGTGCTCTTCTCCACAGCAGCTGCACCATTTTATATCCCCGTCAGCAGTGCATAAGAGTTCCAATTTCTCTACATCCTCACCCAAGAGCCTCTATTTTTAGAGAGAGGAGTGTCGCTCCTTGGCATTTGTTGTGATCACTGGTGTTTCAGGATCTGAAATTGTTTTGATCTGCCGCCTCCCTCTGGGTTGCTAGCCACTTGAGGGAAGAGTCTATATTCTTTCCTACCTCTGGGTCGCATGGCTGCTTTATTTCGTACCACCGCTCTGGCTGCTTGGGCTCCATTTGCTGGGTGGGTCCGGGTGGGTGACACGAGATGAAACAAAAACTTGGGCTTCCAGCAATGGCAGCATCGTGGTGAAAAACGACGTCGTCCTGGAGGCAAACTACACTGCAGAGTATCAGGAACTATTTGCAAGCCTTGCTGAGATTGTAAAGGCCAAGATTATGAATGAAACCAGAATTCCTATTGATCCTAGCTTATGCCAAGGTAGGCCCACCTAAAACCCTTGGCACTGGTGGAAAAGGAGGTCTTGCCCTCCACCCTCCCCTGTCTCTCCTTTTTCCTGGAACTCCCGAGATTTCCACGATAGAAATCCAGAACCAGGCCCGTGGTGCCTTCTCCAAGCCCATGCTGCTCCCCACAGGCTGAGGTTGTCACCCACCCTCACGTCCCCAGCCAAGCCTGCCAAGGTTCAAGACCCTGCTGGCATTGGCCCAGGGGAGGGCACAGTATGAAAGGCCAAGGAGGCCTGGCTACCCCCTGGGAGGCAGAGGGAAGCTCTTCTCTTCAGCCTGTCTTCCCACCTACCCTTGGCAGACAACTCCATACTGTGCTACAGTGGGGACACCATCGTGGATGAAGGGGTCAAGCTGGGCTTTGACTTCCAGGGTAAGCAGCCGCGTGGAGCGTGGGCACTGAAGGCGGGGGTTGGGGTGCCTTAGCCAGGCTGATGCGTGCTGCCCACCCCTCTTCCCCAGAGCAATGCACGCGGAAGGCTGCCAAGGATTATGCCCCGTTTTACTATGTGGATGTCTTGGCTGGGAAGCTGACCTGTGTGACCAGGTGCACCCTGGGGACAAAGTCGAAACTGAACTGTAACCAGGGCAAGTGCCAGCTGCAGCGCAGTGGCCCCCGCTGCCTGTGAGTACCCCCAAACCTAGCGTCCACCTCTCACGGTTGTAGGCTACCCCTCCCCCACCATCACCCCGGGGTGGGGGCTGGGTAGAGCTTGGAAGGTGCCTCCTGCACACCCCTCTTTCTTCTGCCCTGGTCTCCCATCGCCCCATGGGAGTGAGGGGTGGGTGGGTGCAGATTATAGTTATGCATGTCCAAGGGCTGAGCAAGCCCCTTTCTGGGAAAGTTCATACTATCAATTTCTAAACCTATCTCGCTCATTAATTTCCCTTACGTCACCTCAGCCACGATGCCCTTATCACCTTTAGCTGTAGCCAAGTCCGTGAGACCGTAAGTTAAAGTACTAAATATAAAACATGATAGCAGGCTCACTGCTGGCAACAGGTGGCAACTGCTTAGAGATTAGATGGGTAAACAGCATGTGTCTGGGACGAGGCACCCAACACTCTGAGCCCCAGTCATTCTGTATTTTCTTTTCTTTTTCTTTTTTGAGTTGAAGTCTCACTCTGTCACCCAGACTGGAGTGCCGCGGCCGCTCCCGGCCACCGCAGCCACTGCTGGACTCCGGCGATCCTTCCAAGTAGCCGGAATTACAAGTGCGCGCTACCACACCCGGCTGATTTTTTGATTTATTGTAGAGATGAGGTCTCGCTGCCCAGGCGGGGTCTCGAACCCGCGGGCTCAGGCCATCCACTCACCTCAGCCTCCCAAAGGTGTGGGATGACAGGCTGAGCCACCGAGCCCGGCCATTCTGTATTTTCAATCTACAGCCTTTGGGTCCCACAGCCCTTCAGCACCCGTCAGCCTTAGGGAGTCAGGGTCTCACGCTCCCCGGACACCAAGCACCAGCCCTCAAGAGTGAGGAAGAGCCAGTTTCCTGTGCTCCAGACATTGTTTTTTGCTTTGGGGATACGGAGTGTGAGAGGAGCCAATGGGCCAGCCCGAGCTTGTCTGTGTCCCCAGATGCCTAAATACAGACACACACTGGTACTGGGGAGAGACCTGTGAATGGAGCACCAGCAAGAGCCTCGTGTACGGGATTGTGGGGGCCGTGGTGGCCGTGCTGCTGGTCACAGTGGTGGTCCTGGTCATCTTCCTCAGCCGGTCCCAGAGAAAACTGCACAGGTGAGCTTGTGGGGCTAGCACTGCGGCCCCAGAAGGAGGGGACAGACAGGAAGCAGGGATCCCAGCAGCCACCCTCTGAATATCCCAAGGTTCTGCTCCTCCCAGCCCAGCATCAGAGAGGTCAGCCAAGGCCATATGGGGTGCCCGGCCCCTCCCGGGCCTGAATATGGCAAAGAGCAGCCTTCTGATCTGTCACTTGGCAGAATACTTTAGTCTATTTTGTGTTGCTACAACAGAATAATACACACTGGGGCATGGCATCGATAAGTAATAGAAGCTTCTTAGGCTCACAGTTCTGGAGGTTAGGAAATCCAAGACGGAGGAGCCACATCTTAGAGTGTCTTCTAGCTGTGTCATGACACAGTGGAGAGCCCCACATAGAGAGAGAGAGCAAGAGAGGGCCAAACTCACCTTTATAACAAACCCACTCTCTCAACAGCAACATGAATCCATTCTGAGGGTGGAGCCCTCGTGACCGAATCCCCCCCCCCTTTTTTTTTTGAGTTGGAATTTCACTCTGTCACCCAGACTGGAGTGCAGTGGCCGCTCCC